AATATCTACAGTAAATAGCAAACATTGTTTCAAATCCAGTATGTTAAACCATTATACAAAGACAACACAAGAGCTACTGAAGTCCACTACAAGACCTTAATTCCAAGAAAAAGCAAACACATTTTACAGGCTTAACTGGCTTGAACAAACTAAGAGAGCAGTGGACTTTATAACCAGCGAATAATAGTGATCAAACATCACAGAGCAAAGACTGTCCAGCCTAAAACACAGATCGATTCTTATTCAGGGCGATTATCTCTCTTTAAATATATTGCACAAAGAACAGAATCCAAGCAACACAGGAGATTCCAAAAAAATTTATGGAAAACAACTATTTGAGTCACTTCCAACAGACACAGGGTGAGTTTACTGGAAGCAGGTTACAAACAACCCCTTTAAAGGAATCTCTTTCTCTGCACTTTTTTTTTTATTGTCAATATATTATATCACAGTGTAGGAAACACTGGGTCAAAGAGATTTTCTATGTTGTATTGACCCAGAACACTAGCTCATGAACAAAAGCACTGGAATGGTACAACTGTGACTGGATTTCTAATTCCTCTTACTCACCGCAGCTGGAAGTACACTGGCAGGTTCCATTTGTTCTGGAAGCTCTGGTAGCACGGATGTGCTCGCAGCCTCTTCACGCTGGCCTGGGAACCACACTGCCTCTCAAACTTACGAACAAAATCCATGCTGACAGTGTATCTCTTCACACAAGAACACAGCAACAAAGATAACCATTTAATGAGGTGTACAATTCCATTTTATAAAGTGATTTCAGTCAAAGAAAACAATAAGTAAATAAATCAAGTCAATGCTGGTGCATTTTTTCACTTTGCTTACCTCATAAAATGCATCTGGGTTTCCAGGATTGAAAAGGGAAGGGATTCTTTCCTCAACACCTCTAATGATCTCAGGCCAAACAGAGTTCACCAGGAAGTCATATCCTGGAACAATGTCTGCTTTATCACTGGGCATACAAAAGGGTAAGCTCATTAAAAAGCATTGTGTGTAATATTACAGCAATGGTACAATGTAGTAAACGTTCACTTTGAGTGGCAGACATACCTAGAGATTGCCCCACCAGTCACCTCTCGCAGCAGTCGACAATGGTGAGGCACAAACTCCAACAGCTTTGCATACATAATTTTAAGACCGTTAGGGTTGGATTTGACAAATTGTTCAACTATAACCTGACACAAAAAGGAGAAATCGGCATTCAGATGGAGAAGACGGATGCATTTTGTATCTGTAGGCTTGAATCTCATTTGCAAAACTCACAACACTGTAAATAATGACAGATATGCAAATTACAATTGACTGTACTGCTGTAACCGGGTGATATGCAAAATCTACCTCATCCATGTATGGTTTGACTAAGACCTGTCCGACCAGTGCCTCTGCATCCCTCGTCTTATCTATGGTAGCATATGTCCTGAGGCAATGCCGTACAATATCTATATTTGACTTCTGCAGGCCTTGGATCAGTAAGCCTTCCAGTGACTGCTGAAGCATAGCTGTGATACCTGCTATTCTCTGGAACACAGAGAAAAGCACTCACAAAATCAGTAATTAGATATACGGCATATGGACAAAAGTATTGGGGCACCTGACCATTAAACCAGCAGGGACTTTAATGACATTATATTCTAAATACACAGACATTAATATGGAGCTGGTCCCCCCCTTTGCAACTGTAACAGCTCCCACTCTTCTGGGAAGGCTTTCCACAAGATTTTGGAATGTTTTTGTCACCAGTAGAGCACTTGCGAGGTCAGACACTGATGACGGATGAGAAGGCCTGGCTTGCAATCTCCATTCCTGTTCATCCCAAAGGTGTCCAGGTGACTGAGGTCAGGGATCTGTGCGGGTCAGTCAAGTTCTTCCACACCAAACTCAGTGGCGGCATTTACACCGTGTCCGATGTTTGGCATTGAATTTCATAATTTCATAATGACAAGCAACACAATGGGATACTTTAAGACTGGGAGCTCACCGGTCGGACTTTATCAAGCAATGGCATTCCTTTGCTCTGGACTGCATGAAACTGTAACTGGTTGAACTCGGTGGCAATCCGCTCTAGAATCTGACCTGCCAGAAGAGGACTTAAAAACAAAGAATAAGCTGTTCATTCAAGTGTAAAGTAAAATGCAAATGGTACATGATCTACAGAATCCTTTCCTTAAGCCATGAGTCATATTTCAAGAAGTTGTTTTGCTGCAATGTACACTACTGTACCGTTTGTGGTCAGTATGATTTTATTGTGATTAATACTTTTATTCAGCAAGGAGTGTGTAAAGTGACTTTAAAGACTTTTACATTGTAATAAAGATCGCTATTTCAAATAAACACTGTTCTTTTGACCTTTCCATTCATCAAAGAATCCTGAAAAAATATTTAATGTATGTTTCCACAAAAATATTAAGCAACATCGTTTCAACATTAATAATAAGAAATAATTCTGAGCATCAAAACAGCATATTAGAAAGATTTCTGAAAGATCATGCGACACTGAAGACTGGAGTAATGGCTGCTGAAAATTCAGCTTTGCCATCGCTGGAATAAATTACATTTTAAAATATATTTGAACAGAAATCATTTATAATTATTTTAAATTGTAATATTTCACAATAGTACTGGTTTTACTATATCAAATAAATGCAGCCTTGGTGAGCATTAGAGACTAATTAAAAAAAAAAACTTTGACAACTAACTTTTGACAGGAGTGTATTTGTCTCATTTACTTCATGCCTCTTTCGCTACTTCACGTACCTGCTGGTCTCAAGGGATGTTGTATCTTTAGTGTTTTGGTGAAGAATTTTCTCAATCTTCTCCACTGATCTCACAACTTGGATAAGTTTTAACACACAGAGCTACAATAGACACAATGTTGGACAATGTGTGCATAGTTGTAACAGTATTTTAAGTTTCATCACCATGACTTACCTTCTTTTTTTGAATGTCATCTTGCTTGGATAGCTGGGTGTCTATAGCTTCAATAACTTCATTCACAGAGGATCTCAAACTCTGTACATGAGAGGAAGATACTTAGATGATGACTTACATATGGCCAATTCAAATGTATTCACTCATGTGTTAAGCACTTACCAGCACCTCTTCGCGTAACTGGCCCAGAGGGACAGAGAGCTGATTAAGGGCTTTATCCATTCCAACCTAAAACACAGATACAAACAATAAGCCTCCAAAGCATGTGGCAAAACTCATAATGCTCCAGAAAAAGACATAAAGCACACAAGACTCACAAGATTCGTGGAAAGGTTAACGAAATCTGCATAGTCTTTATTGATAAGCTCGACCATGGCTGTTTTGAGAAGCCTGTAATATTGCTCCAGATCTTCACGCATCTCTTCCAGCTGGACACGCTTTCTGTAATCAGCCACAAATTTGTCCACGTCGAAGTCATCCTGCATAGAAATGTACAAATATTTAAAATCAAAATACCATCAGGCAGAAAGGTGTCAAATAATGTCAAACACAAGGAAGGACAACTGGAAGACAGTCAAGAGATTGTTGTATGGAGAATAAATATCAAAAAGAGCTTCCATTAACCCTCTGCTCTGTTTGGTGGTTGAGAGACCACACATCCATTTTAAAATACATTTTAAAGATAAATATCAAGCTGACATTTTAATGACTTTTCATAAATCACATGAGAAGTGATTATAAACTATTTCAATGTGATAACATTCTCCAACTGTCCTCCATGTAGAATGCTATGTTGTGTATGTTTGTAGGTCTGTGAGACCCCAGATGCTGTTGCTGTACACGCTGTAAAAAAGTTCTCATTCTATCAGTTGCATTTTTGAGTATTTTTTTTATTTTTCTACAGTATATTTTGGTTGGTTCAAAACTACATTGAAGTGAGTCACATTTATAAAAAGAGCATGGATTTGTGAGGGTTAAAACTTTATTCAAGTCCAACAGGTTTTGTCTTAGTCAAATGAACATATTAAAAGTGCCTGAAATGGAAAAATAGATTAATTTGCTAATTATTATTATTATTATTTGTATGTGTACATCATTGGGGTCTCTGGTGTCCCAACATAAAGTCAGTCTGGGCAGCGTTAAAGATACTTGCTCAAGCAGTACTTAAACATATAAATACAACACACAAACTAAACATAAACCGCTGCTCAATCAAGTTAGTTACTATAAAGCTGAATACAAGTCTCTTTTCAGTTGATATATTACTAACAGATCCCTCACCTTCATAAATTCGTCTTTGTCGAAACACAAAGAATCGGGTCCCTTTGGTAACGTCATCATTCTTTTAGGACGGCCACAAACAAAATAACCTGCAAATGTATTTGTTTAAACGTGAAGATTATTTGCTACATTTCGTTCAAATGACACAGTAATCGACTCAACTTCCGCAAACATGGCACACGCTAACGAGTGGGTGGAAAATACAAAACCCTGCTGTGTCCGAAAGAGAGAATATCTGCGAAGAGCGCCTTGACTGGCGACCAGCGGTACTGCAGCACGACTATACTCCACAACCAGTGATGAAAACTAATTTGATGACAAATTATTCCCCCAGCTATGTGAACACACGTATTTTATACTGCCAAGGACACTTGAATAGTGTTTTATTCCTATTATGTAACCGGTGTTACAACTATAGGGTGAAAAATTACTTAGTTACTCAATAAGACTAGAAAGCTGCAAGCAAGTAACATAATGTTTAACATAACGTTTTCTATAACTATCAATATTTAAATTTTATTTAAACTTGAAATAAACTTTTATAAACTTTAAACTTTTATTAAATAACAAAAAAAATACATTTACATTTGTATGATATAAATTGCTTTACATTTTAAAATGTCTAACTGGATCTCGTTTGATGCTATTGTATATTTAAACTGGAAAATATTAATACGCCCACAAGGCATTTTAACAATATGGCAGAGCAAATACATCTATGATTCATTCAGAGGTTAATCCCATTGGACAGTGCAGGGAGACCGAGTCAGGTGATTTCCAAGGAATCCGGAGATTCATTCAGTCATTCTCCACAGAGAGGGGAGGCCGCCCAACCCGGATGCACAGATCGTTTGTGGAGCGGTCAGTTGTGGGGTTCAGCCCGCAGGACTGGGAGTATTTCAGCACCAGAAAGGACGAACAGCTCCCGCGGCGTTCACCTTTGTTTCCACGCCGCTACTGAGACCTGCGCCCGCTGCATCACGCGCAGAGGACCGAGACACGCTCGCTCGCACGCACGCACGCACGCAGAGGGACTTGGTGGAACAGACTGTATGCCGGATTTGACACTTTTAAGGAAATCATTTGCATGCCGAATCTCGCTGTGTGTAGCAGCTCTACGTCGGGACTGACAAACGATGGCGGAGTGTGGAAGGAGGGGACTGTCGCTCCTCGAGGAAGCGCGTTCTCGCTACGAGAGCCTGCAAATTTCCGATGATGTGTTCGGGGAGTCAGGAGACGACAGCAGCGAAAACCCCTTTTACAGTACAACGGGAGACTCCAATTCGGATAACTACACGGAGACAAATCCGGACGATGCCAGAGCAGGTGAAACTAGGGGTCAGAGCTGCGGTCCCCCCGGTTCCGCCTCCAACGGCCAGGCGCAGGAGGAGGGATGGAGCGACTCGCTACAGGACCTCAGTGTGCCCCACTATCAGGACACGCATGGTAAGTTGGTCTAATGATGAGCGAACCTCATGTAAATGCAATGCAGCTTCATCATCCTTGAGAGGCCTGCATGCTCCACTAGTAATTAAGCTCACAGATGGGACTCTTTGATGACTACATTGATTTACTTTGATCTCTCTCATCAGATGGCTCCAACAGATGACACAATTCCTTCAAATATGGATAAGGGGTGATTAGTAACTGGCTCTTTGAAATCCTGCACATAGCGTGGGGGAAGAGAAAATAGGAACTGAGATAGCATGCCAAATTTGGATTTTCATTCCAGTTGAGGATACTTCCAGTGTCTAATCTCTGCCAGACTCAGAGCAGCTGTGATTATGAGTATGATTAGCTCTGTATCAGGGTAGGAGGGTAATTTGCATAGGCAGATGAGAGGAGGCTCTTATTTCTGAGAAATTCACACTTTAATGTGGTTAGATGGCAGCTTTTAGAGGAGATTTACACTTGGTGTAAATGCTTTCTTATCAAGTGATGTACTATACACATATCCAGCAAGTGGCAATTAAGACCGTAGAGAGAACAAATAAGTAAAGACTAATGAGAATAAGGACAAAAAAAGTAAACTAAAACCATGCACATGTCAGACCCAATCATTTGTTGTAGGATAAAATCCTTAACATTCCTGTCAGGCAGTCACCAGTTTAATTTAGTATTCAATTAACTGTCAGTGTAGGTGGCTTAATCTCATTTTAAGAAATTTTAATAATGCCTTGCATTCAAAGTGTCACCACATTTTATCCAAGCGCACGACTGACTGACTGTCTAGACTTTTATGCCATAGACAAACACTCATTTAGTCATTTTTATGAACTCAGTTTACCTGATCAATTTTGCATGACTTATCAGTATAAAGATGCTTGCCAGTCAAATGCTTGTGGTCCCACTGCCTACCCAGCAATCTAAAACAAATGCAATGAAATACAAAACAGATAGGGTATGTTGCTTAATGGTTTATTCATTTATTTAACAGTTAAAGATGCTGTGCATGTCGGAACAGATTTGGAGAAATTTTGCATCACTTGCTCAACGTGGATCCTCTGCAGTAACAGTTGATAAAAACATCACAATAATCCACAAGTAATCCACACGACTCCAGCCATCAATTAACTTCTTGTGAAAAAAAAAAATTGAGGGGTGAACTATTCCATTAAAGTCATGACACAGAAATGTGATCAAACCTGCTAAATGTAAAAGATATTGTGATGCCAGCGTTTATCAGTATATGTCTCACAAAGTATTAAATGAACGGTTTTCTAGTTTCTCTTACCAGGAAATTAAATATGAAATTAAATCATTCATGACTGGAGTTTGACTGGAATAGTCCAGTTGTACAAAGTAAAAAAAAAGATATATTGTGATAAAATCCTGAATATGCACTCCTGTAATGAATGAATAGGAGAGAGAAAGAGAATGGCTCATTTTTGATTTCAGCCACACTATATTTCTCCCTGAATCATAGATAGAGATAATCATGTGCTAATGCCAGATAGACTTGCAAATACTGTGGTTTACATAATGTGCAGGGAATCATTTCTGCCTGAATAACAAAATGTGTTTTTTTTTCTAGCAAGGATGGTTGAGAGTTCTATCTGTTATTGTATATGTTCTGCTCTAATTGCCATTTAATGGCAGTCTAAATATTGTCATAAACAGGAGTGAAGAGAATCCTTGGCATCTCTTACTGTACAGACCATGACTGCTTGACATGTGGATCGATAGACTGATACTAATATCATGCTTCATTTCACTCAAGTCAAAGTGACCCAAGAGCATCTTTAAATGACGCATGTACGTGTGTGTTTTTAAATGTCATATAAAGAGCTTTCATTGCACAAATATGAAAAAATGGAAGATTGATGCTATCAGCTGATGCTTAATGAACCAAAACATACTGAGAAATACATTAAAATGCCACGATAATGTTTTAGAAGAAAGTATCCTAATCTGAATATAATGCTTTTTCTTGTTGTGATTTGAACATTTTCCAAATTGAGTAGATTCCGTGCTGTTGAAAAATGACGCATCTTTCCGTCGTGGTTGCTCAGAAAGTTCTGTCTGTCACCATGGGGGGAAATGGGCCATCTGGTTGCTGCCTTTGCTTTGGCACAAGCTGCAAAATGATGCATGAAAGATACACAAAGTCAGTCCACAGACATTTTGCATTTCATGTCATGGGTCAATAAGATGTGACACTTGTGGATACTGACAAACAATGTTTCATCAGAGCGAGCTGTCAGTGCTGTTTGTATAAGGTAAATGTCTGGCACAACACTCTAGCCTGACTGTGATTCTTATATAAGGTCTATATTATTTAGGTCAACATAATAACACGCTTTGTGCTCTCGCTTACATCCTTTACACTTTGTGGTTATTTAAAGCATATCATTTAACATATCTCAAGTAATTTGAAAAATATCGAATTATAGAATGATAAACCAAGGGACAATAAAGAGCTATAAGTTATACTTAATTTTGCCCACAACAGATCTTTGTCAAACCCAACAGTTCTGTGACATGATTGTTAAACTGAGACACAAAGCTTGGACAGTTTGAGGGCTATATGGTGTAATTCTCCTCCTGTTGTGAGATCTAAAATAATAAGATCAATTCATATCAGCTTGCTTATTTGTATAAAGGAGGTGTAGAGAAGGTACAGGGACTGCTGGTTCTTCTTCTCAATAATTAATCTAGGAAACTATGTAGCACTCCAGCAGCTGTTCTCCTGGAAGACTGAATGTAGACACAGAGATAAATAAAAATATTTTGATGTTCTACAGAACTTCTGGGTGTGGAAAGAAAACCTCTTTGAACACAGCATTGGTTTGTTCAGTTCATGCATTTTAGAAGCGATATGGCCATTATCTAGATTAAGCTACAGAGTCATACTGTATTACATAACACCGATTTAATACCATAAAAGATTTCAAGCCAGATATGAACATAGAACTGTTTGCTCTATCAATATCATGCTGCAATTTTTAAACTAAAGGAAATTCAGACCAGCATGAAAATAATAAATCTAACTTTTAAAAAAATATTAAAAATATGTATATACATATTTTGCATAGAGACCTTTAATAAAATACTTTTGGGAAGTTGACATGTCCAGCTATACTTAACACAAAACAATTAAAAAAAAAAAAAAGCGTTTTTTCAAATTCTTCATAATTATTATGCATGCAATATTTTAAAAATGTAAAAATTATATTGTCACACAGCAGGACCATTTAATGAAGTAGTGAAAAAGGCAAAAGCATAATTAATGAGGACCATTTACAATACCTAAGATATACAGCTTACCTTATACATTTATATAAATTTTAATCTATACTAGTTATTAAGAAGACCATGAACACATTGTGTCAACTACCTATTTTTAGCATACTGTGCAAAATGTTTATATAATCAGCAACTTTGTGATATTTTTCTTGAGATGTTTTCTCTCTCTCTCTCTCTCTCTCTCTAACTGATCTTCTTTAGTGTTTGATAAGTAGTTTATACAAAAAGGCACAGATGAATGAACATAATACACTGTACAATGGTCTTTATCCTGGGGGAATGTTTGAGCTTGCTTTACAAGCTTCTTCAGAGCTGTAATGGGAGATGAGCTACTGGTTGAATAGCAGATGTTGTGGTTAGGTTAAGATGTGTGTCATGCATGAACATGTGAGGCTTTGGAAAGCATGACAGAGCCATTTGTTCATGAAAATAATGAAATAATGAAGACAATTTCAAGACAATTTTTACAACAGATTTCCTTTGTAAATCAGAATCCTGTACAGTTTTTACTCACAGTTGTATATTGCACTCAAATCAATTACACACTCTCTTGCTTTGGGGTCATTAGGCCACTGTGGCACTGAGTAAATGTGTGGCAAGTTGTAAGTGCAGTTGACGGCCAGTGCTCTGCTTTGGGGTTTTCGTCACTACAAAATAATACCCACATAACTCTCCAGCAGAGCTTCGCCTCATCCTTCAGGCCCTCACAGACACAGGTAAAGATCATACTTCAATTAAATGTAGAAATCACTCAATAGTCAATCAGCAATAACCAATATGTTGAAGGTACAAAGAGAAAGTGCACAACCCAACTCTTCACATGAACTTTTTGGAAACTAGGACTAGCAGACATATTCCATTTCTGTGCTAGTAGAAAGTGGGTTTGGGGCTGAAATCAGAGCACGTTCTGCTGTAATTGGGAGAGCCTGGTGTCCTGTCACATGTCCCCAGGCTGTGAGCTTTATGGTGCCATTGAAAAGTCTGGAGGGTTTTTTACATCTGCAACTTTTCAGAGCTGCTGAATGCAATACTCAAAGTCTGTTGTACTTTGAATCTAATTAGACTGAAAACAAACTAGTAAAATGCTTGTTCTGAAACGTTACAGTTAAAGGATACCTCAAGCCCTTAAAGACATTTTGAGTTATTCATAAGCTTAGAAGACAACATTTTGACCTTTATTCTTTGTACTCTTTTGTAAGTCCCTCAGGTTCCATTTCTTCATGTATCCAGCTTATGTGTCTGGAACTTAAATTAAATTATTAATAAATATGTAATTAAATTATTATTGAATTAAATTATTAAACTGAATAAGGGATGTGAATTAAATATGTTAATTACACTTCTGTTCAAAAGTTTGGGGTCAGTAATATTTTTTTGTAAAGAAATTAATGCTTTTACTCAGCAAGGATGCATTAAATTGATAAGAAGTGACAGTCAGACATACATTGTTATAAAAGATTTCTGTTTTGAAAAAATGCTGTCTATCATCAGAGAATCATAAAAGAAATATCATGGTTTCCACAAAAATATTAAGCAGCACAACTGTTTTCAGCACTGGTAATAATGAGAAATGTTTCTTAAACAGCAACTCAGTATATTAGAATGATTTCTGAAGGATCATGTGACACTGAAGACTGGAGTAAAGGCTGCTAAAAATTGTTTGTAATTGTAATATTATTTCACAATATTACCATTTTTACTGTATTTTTGATCAAATAAATTCAGCCTTGGTTAGCATGAGAGACTTATTTCACAAACATTTAAAAGTCTGACTGACCCCAAACTTTTAAACAGTAGTGTACATTATATGCTGATTACTTAATCAGAGTAATTGCAATTAATTTAGAGAAAAGCTTCTAAATGAAGACAAACTGACATTACATTCTTGTGATTAATGCATACGTTTTTTTATATAATGAATTGTACTACGCTAACATATTAAATTGACACTCCTATTTTAAATCAAAATTGCTGTAAATAAATATGATAAACAATGAAGTGAGATATCTGATTCAGAGTGCTATAAGCTTATAGACAGTAATTGCAGATTCTGTTAATCTAATAGCGCCAAATCTCACTTTAAATGTAGTCTTCTGTTAGATAAAATAACAATAATAATGCGCTCATTGTGTCAGACATTCAAATGTCAGGCTAACATCAGGGAGTTTACTGTTAAATGACAAGAAGACTTCTAAATGAGCACAGCTGTGCCAAGTAAGCCATTTCAACATCCTCCTACATTTGTTCATTTTTTTCCTCTCTTCATTTGGAAAATGAGTTTTCGGTGGATTCAATGATCTGTGCTTCTGCTTTCAGATAGGGGACATAAAATTGGAACTGAGTTGTAAGAAGTAATCTTGAAATATGGGCTAGAATCTGAGCAGTCCATTATTCAGCAAAAGTGAAACATATTTATTACATTCGGTCAAATTAAAGGCTAGAATAAATTAGAATAAATGATTTGCGCTTCCTCAAGACATTGTTTTTCAAACAGTATGAATAATTCACGGGGTATAATGCATCTCAGCACATTCATCTTTTAAACAGCCATCAGGGATTTCTTTTAGTAACTAGCTTTTGGTCTATTTCCCCCTTGATTCATGGTGGCCAGCAGGACTTCAGGCAAGAATGTGAGAATACACTGAACATACATACATATATTTATTTACTGAGTGACTGATTGTGTAATTTAGTACGAGGGAAAGTGTGACATATACAGTTATACAGCTAGACAAATTAAATAAAATTAAATTGAAATTTCCTTTGAGAAAAGTTGTAATTCTCCTTCTGATGATTTGGTGCTAATCACTGGACCCTTGCTGGACCCCCTGCAGTTTGCTTATCGAGCAAACAAGTCTGTGGATGATGCAGTCAACATGGGACTGCATTTGTATTATATCCTACAACATCTGGACAGACCAGGGACTTACGTGAGGATCCGGTTTGTGGACTTCAGCTCCGCTTTAAACTCCATCATCCCGGATACTCTCCTGATTAAACAGACATCAGACCTCCATCTGTCAGTGGATCACCAGCTTCCTGACAGACAGGCAGCAGCTAGTGAGGCTGGGAAAATTCTCAACCAGCACCTGCACCATCAGCACTGGCGCCCCCCAGGGATGTGTTCTCTCCCCACTGCTCTTCTCCCTCTACACCAACGACTGCACCTCTAAAGACCCCTCTGTCAAGCTCCTGAAGTTTGCAGATGACACCACACTTATTGGCCTCATCCAGGATGGAGAAAAGTCTGTTTACAGAAAGGAGGTTAAAGAGCTGGCTGTCTGGTGCAGTTATAACAACCTGGAGCTCAACACGCTCAAAACAGTGGAGATGATGGTGGACTTCAGGAAAACCCCCCTGCACTCCCCCCACTTACCATCATGAACAGCACTGTAACAACAGTGGAGTCATTCATGTTCCTGGGCACCACCATCTCTCAGGACCTGAAGTGGGAGTTCCACATAGACTCCATTGTCAAGAAGGCCCAGCAGAGGCTGTACTTCCTTCGCCAACTGAGGGAGCTGCTGATACAGTTCTACTCTGCAGTCATTGAATCCGTCCTCTGCACTTCTATAACTGTCTAGTTCAGCTCAGCTACCAAATCAGACCTTAGAAGATTGCAGTGGATAGTTCGGACTGCTGAGCGAATCACTGGTATAAACCTCCCCACTCTCCAAGAACCACACTCATCCAGAGTGAGTAAAAGAGCTGGCAAAATTATTCTGGACCCCTCACACCCAGGCCACTTCCTCTTTGAACTGTTGCTGTCTGGTCAGCACTAAGTAGAACAGCCAGGCTTAAGAACAGTTTCTTCCCTCAGGCAATCCATCTCATGGACAGCTAACTTGGCAATAAACGTGTAATACACAACACTATTTATACAGTTATTTATTTAGCACAGATACCTCTTTTTACATTTCCTTGCATTTGTACATAACACACCTGTACACACAAATACCATCTATTGTCTACTTTGTATAATGTGTTTTTTTTTGTTATTTACTATTTACTTATCCTATTTTTATTCTTTTTATTATCTGTGTCTTATCTTGTCACTGTCATTCAGTTTGTGCTGTGGAAGCTTCTGTCACCAAAACAAATTCCTCATATGTGTTAACATACCTGGCAATAAAGCTCTTTCTGATTCTGATTCTAATTAAGGTCCTTTGAACTCCTGCCCTTTGAAAACCCCATTAATCCCTGTTCCTACTAAAGTGCTCTTTTGAGACATTTTTAGGTTCTTTTTGGACTTCAAGTAAAATTAATAATCTGCCATGGTGGAATAGGTTGTCAACTTCTACATTTACAACTTATTTATATTAAAGGGATAGTTTACTCCAAAATTGAAAATTTAGTATCCTCATTTAAATTTAGTAACCAGTATGAAACCCTCAATGCTGGTGAACTATCCTTTTATGGTTGTCATTAACCTGCATCTTAGCTTGGTATTTCTACCAGTAGATTTTAATGAATCAGCTTCAGCTCCTAAATCAAATTTGCATTTCATGAGGCCTTTATGTGACCCATCTCAGAGACACCCCTCAATTACTCGCCTGCCATGAGTAAACTAAACACCATCTGCGTCTCTCAGCTCTTCCAGTGCCATGGTTATATCACCTTGACAATGTGTGCCAACCAGCCCACTTTGACTGCCACAGTGTGGGTTTGGTTCTTATCCCCTATTGGCAAACAAGAAGGCATTCAGCACAGCCACACATGCCCTGTTTAACTGCTTCAGCTCTAAAAGAGGGTTTACTGAGTCAAACACTGCTTAAAATAAACATATTATGATATCTATAGGGAACATGGCTGGTTAGGTTTAACAGATCTATCATACCTGACTTGACAAGCCAACATCTTTTCCCAGGATCTTCATCAAGATTTCAGCGTGCACCTCCTGCAGGGAACATAAAAAGTTTGAAAAGCAACTTTGCATTAACAAATGATGTGTTTGAAGTGTTATCATGGTGGAATTTTCATATGAGACATGCTGCTTTCCCTCAGGTCCTCCATGAGCCCTTGATTGATGAGGACCCCGTGTTCATTACCACATGTACAGAGAGGGAGCTGCGCAAGAGGAAGAAGAGAAAGTTCAGCCTGTGGGTGCGACAGTGCAGCTCCACTGGTTTCATCTGTCAGGTGAATGCACACACGCTCCCACAGGGAAAGCACAGGAGGATATCCCACAAAAAATTTATCAACTGCCCCAAGATGTTATGTCACATTGTTTCTAATGAGAAAGTATTTATTGAAAATATTTTGCCACTCTGTTGCCACAAACAAAGCAATTTTACACAATTCTGTGATATTTGTTAACGCAAATAAATTACAAATTTAAATAAATTACTACAGAGAAGCAGATGGAATCAATAAAATATCATTTATAGAGTCAACAAAGAAAACGAAAGCCCAGACCACTTAACATAATTCTCTTGGTCTGTGCCTGTTAGAGAAAATAACTGCTATGCGCCTTTGGGGAGTAAACCAAACAGATAACAGAATTTATTGTCCTTACTTCAGTATTTTTGATGTACTGTGCACTACCATTCAAAAGTTTAGGGTCTGTAAGATTTGTTTTGTTTTTAATGTTTTTGAAATAAGTCTCTTATGCTCACCAAGGCTGCATGTATGTGGTCAAAATACAGTAAAACAGTAATACTGTGAAATAATATTACAGTTTAAAGTAATTAATTCCTGTGATGGCAAAACTGAATTTTCAGCAGCCATTACTGCAGTCTTCAGTGTCACATGACCCTTCAGAAGTCATTCTAATATGCTGATTTGGCGCTCAAGAAACATGTGGGTCCCACTTTATGTTAAGTGGCCTTAACTACTATGTACTTACATTTAAATTAATCATTTGGTACAATGCACTTATTGTGTTCATGCATGTTTTTACATTGTACTAATATTTAAAAAAAATACCTGCATTTAATTACATCTGTAATTACATTTATAATTACACCATTGTTGACCCATCCCTTACACCTTAACCCACCCTTAAACCTACCCATACCACCTAACCTGTCCCTAACCTGTCCCTAACCTTACCCATATCCCACCTCAATAGCAGCAAAAGTGTTTTGCACTACAATATGAACATAATAAGTACATTGTACTTATGTTTTGATGTAAGTACATAGTAGTTAAGGCCACTTAATATAAAGTGTGACCAACATTTGTTTATTATTATTAATTTTGAAAACATTTTTGTGGAAACTGTGATACATTTTTTCAGGATACTTTGATGAATAAAAGAACAGCATTTATTTGAAATAGAAATCTTTTGTAACAATATAAATGTTTTTACTGTCACTTTTGATCATTTAATGCATCTTTGCTGAATAAAAGCATTCATTTCTTTAAAAAAAACATACTCACCTCAAACTTTTAAATCGTAGTGAATATTGAAGTTTATTTAAGAAAAAGATTAGATTGATTAGATAGTGATAAGAGATATCAGAGATCTCAGAATGCCAAATCATTCACCATAATATCCAGTGAAATGTAAATTATTAATGAATAATTATATATATTATATAATTATATATATTATATATAATTATATATATAATAATGGAAAGTAAATAATGTCAATTCTGATTTATTGTTTAAGCAGCTTTAAATTCTTTCTTCTTTACCAGATCTATGTTCATCTAAAGGAGGGTCCAGGTCCAGATGGTTTGGACACGTTGAAAAATAAACCCCAGCTTCACAGTCTGGTGGCCAAGCAGCTCTGTCAGAATCTGGCTGGCCGTAATGCAATCATCTTCACTGGCCCAAGCATCACAAGTCTAAACTTGTTTCAGGAATTTGAGAAACAGGGTAGGTGCTGTAACTCATGTGCAACAGTGCTGCATCTGTCAGTTCTTTGCATCATTATCTGCTCTACTTCTTTTAGTGAATTCTGCCTTGGCTTTGGTTTGCTTCTTTTTTTTCCGTCTCTTTAATCTTCTCTCCATCTGATGTTCCTCATCCCCTGCAGTTTTTAATTACACGGTGACAGTATCCTGTGGCAAGGAATAAATGGGGAGAGTGAGAGGAAGTTGACCTTGAGTTCTCAAAGCAAACGCGTGTTTCATACTCAAAGATTATTTGAAAGCCTCCAGCTGGGCCGCAAGGAGTGAGTGTTAATACAGCTAGAATGGATAAAGCTAGTGGCCAGCTTCTTTTTTTCTCTCTACATTTGAATCAAAACATTTCACATTATTAGAGAACTAGGTCATAATTGGATGTCGTGTAGAATTTTTATATCAGCTTCATCCATAGCCTCATACAGTACTGTTCTAGGGAGTAATAAACTAAAAGTAGTGACTTTTCAATAGCGTGACAGTAGCTCAGTTGTTTTCAAAGCAGCGTAGCTTTTTTTCAAAAGTAACATTGTAAATCGCAACATTGTGTTTTTTTAATGTCATGATTGCAACTTCACAATTAAGTGCCACAGCAAAGTAAAATTTATTTTTGCATAAATCATATTTATTTTTGCATTCTTTTAATAATGGAAAGAAATTAATTTCTATTGAATTGTCCTAGTGGGCTGCAAGCAAAAACATCATACAACATGTCCGATTCATAAACAAATTACTATTATGAGAAATAAAAATACTATTATGTGTCAGTTCTTTTGATGAATGCTATAAGAGACAAGTTATTTTATTTGAATAAGTTCAATGAATCCTTCACTGAACTGAATCCAGCAGAACTGTTCACCATTACAAACACATGCTGAAAAACAAACAAGCTTGAATGCTTGAGCAAAACAGCACAATGGATATCTGACAAATGGTCTATTATTCATACAAAGAGTGAACAGGATATCACTCAGCTGTACAACATATGTCCAGTTCAATGAATTGGTTTGTTCAGAGAGTTCACGTAAAGCAGTGACTTTTGATGGTTTTTACATAGTTTTTCTTTGTAGAAAAATGGTATCGAAAAACAATATGGCTGTTTATCAGCACAGCTGTGATTCAGCCGTAGGCACGAGGATGCAGGCCGAAGATAATTTATTTATTTTATTTTATTTCAGATAACATTGATTTAGTTAAAAGTTGTCCAAACACTCCTGAGTGAATCCTACTGGACATTTGACAGCACTTTGTTCATTGTATAAGTATATAGGATGGAGAAGAAAGTCTTCAAGGAAAGATTAGTCACACAATTGTCCCCTTTGCGGGGAGGATGAATAATCATCATATCTCAATCAGATTTCTAGGCCACTTTCAGAGAGGCTGCAGCATCCGGCAGTGCTGTGGAGAAGACATCTGCTCACAGCTTCATAGATCACACATGCAGGGGTCTATTCATGTGACCTCTATTCATCCGATCAGCATTCAAATGTGAACACTTGTGCCATAAACTGAGCGCTCAGGCTAAATATTCATTCTCAGCCTGATGGATTTTTTTATTTTTGTTCTTTAATTTTTTTCTTCCTCTCCTGCAGGCATCTACTGCTGCGGGTTGTTGAGCACCAGGAAGAGCGATTGTACAGGTCTTCCTCAGTCTATGCTGATCAATACCGAGGCTCCACAGCAACGTGGCCAGTCTCACATTAAGATGAGAGGCAATATGTCCATAATCAACTGGTACAACAAAGGCAACTTCAGGTTCCTCACTAATGCCTACCCTCCCACTAAAGAAGGTAAGAAACACACAGGACAGGCAGATGATATGTTTCTTCTTGCTTGAATAAAGCAGTTTTTTCAGTTTATAATAAAAGGAATAGGGCTGCCAATTTAACACATTAATTAAATAATTAGTTAGGAAGAAATAACGCGATTTTTTTTACGCAGTTAAAGGGTTAGTTCACCCAAAAATGAAAATTAGCCCATGAAGTACTCACCCTCAAGGCATCCTAGGTGTATATGACTTTCTTCTTTCAGACGAATCCAGTCGGAGTTATATTAAAAATTGTCTTTGATCTTCCAAGCTGTTTAATGGCAGTCAGCGGGTGTTGCAGTGCATCAGTCCAAAAAAAGTGAAATAAAGCGCATCCATTCATAATAAAAAGTGTCTCATACGGCTCCGGGGGGTGAACAAAGGCCTCCTGTAGCGAATCGATGCATTTATGTAAGAAAAATATCCATATTCAAAACGTAATAATCACTTTAATCTAGCTTGCGCCAACAGTTGTACACAGAAGCAGTTCCGGGAGGATGACGTATGGAAGTCGGCTTTGCGCATGCGCCGCTCATATGTGACGAACACGGAAGCGCAGCAGAGAGATCAAAACAAAACAACAGTCACTAATTAGAAGTACAAAACGAGGATTTGTAAAGAAGAATGTCAGAGGATTTCGATATAAGCCAAGAGGAGACTGGTTTTCCTTTGCTAAAGTAAGGAAACTTTGCTTCCTTTGCTCCTGTAAAAAAACGCTGGTTTTCACGAGACTCACTGGCGCATGCGCAACGCCGACATCTTACGTCATCTTCTCGGAGCTGCTTCCGTGTACAACTGTTGGCGCAAGCTA